CGTGCCGGGGGCCGCTGCCTTGAACCGCTTGGCCGGAGGCCCCTCGCTGTCCTGAGCCATCGCCCCTCGCCCTCCGGTCCCGTCCCGTCCTGTCCCGTCCCGCCGGGGCTGTCCCGGGGCTCCGGCCGCGCTCCACAGGCTCCCTGGCGCAGCAATGACGTCACAGCGCGACATTGCGCAGAGCACCCTGGGAGTTGTAGTCTCGATGTCGCCACCATTTGCACCGCTCCCTGCTCCGAGAGCCCCTCGGGGCCGGGGACCCTCGGAAAAATCCCGGACCACAAACCGCAGCCAAATGCAAGCAAGGAGGGCACAGAGCCGACTGCAGGCAGGGTCGGGACACGTTCCCGTTCAGGACTTGTCCCAGTAACAAGCTAAGGAGGGGCTCTCAAACACTGAACTAAAAAAAACCAAAAACACAAAAATAAGGTTTTGATCTAATTCCCGCCTCATAAGCTATGCTAAAGCAACATTGTCCAAAACACTTTCACTCTTGTTCTCTAGCAGTACTGGAAGTCTGCTCCAGAAACAATCAAAACTGCCCCAAAAAACAAGCTGAAAAACCTGTAAAACCCCCCAAAGCTCCCCTAAGTTTTCATAACCTTTAACAGATAAAAATACAGATACAAATCACCTCACAGATTTTATCAGAATCTAACATACTGCTTGTGGACAAAGAATTTCCCTTGAGATACCCACATATTTCTCTCCTGGATTATAAATTACAAATATTAAAACCTGTGGTGAGTTTTTGAAAACATAATCTGACACTGTCATGCGTGAGCCCATCCTCTAAAATGTAGAATGAAGATGCAGCTTTAACTCGTTTCATCTATTATGATATATTTTATCTACTATGATATAATCAATAAACCCCTACCCAATACTTTCTATGGCAATTTAAGAACTGACCATGATGAGCTGAACTGAGCTCCAAGCTCCTGTGGCTCCTCAGATGTATTCATAATCAATTTAGCTTTAAGCTAAATCCCACTCAGTCTCATTAGCCTGTGCTGGACACAACAAACTTCATCCACAGACTGTGGATTTCACATCCTGAGCAGACAATGCTGCATCCTGCAGTTCTGAGACACTCGTGTGAAAAGCTTCAGTTTTCTCTGTCTCTTCAAGGACTTGCTTTTTCCAGCTCCTGCTTTTCCACCTGCTGCTTCAAGACTACAGGATTACACAGAAGATTAACCAAAAGGGATACACAAGACATTTTATTCAACTCATCATCATCTGAGTTCTGAATTCAGACAGGTTTCCTTCTCTAGTGCTGCAGGTCATTCAGTAACAGCAGAGGGCACATGGGGGTGGATTTTGCAGGCACAACTATTTAACCACCAGTGTGAAAACTGGACACGTGAACACACAGTCCTCAGAGGAAAAAAACATCAAAATGTAGCTTCAGCCTGCAGAACATTCCAAAAACCCACCTGGCAGAGTGAAAAGCTGCATTATGCTGCATGTTGTGCTCCCTGCAATTCAAAGACGACTGGAGGCAGCAGCACCTCAGATTAAAAATCCTTTTGCCATTGAAATAGTGACTTAGACTTTCAATCATCTTGTAGTTGTTTTATCCAAGAATAAAAAAAAAATTAGTTAAAACCCAAAAAGTTGGGTTTCTCCCCTGTAAAGTTTCCCATAGAGTTTCATGTATCAAATAACTTGAAAAAAATGCTTTAGAAATCACTTCAAACAAGTACTTGCGTGGCCTTGTTAACTGAAGTCAACAGGAAACAGTTTCCAGTTTTACATTTTTGGCTCCACTGGATTTAGATTATGTCCGGCACAATGAATTCCCTGATTGGGGAAAGGCGCTGGGAGTGCCTTGGGTGAGACTGCCATTTCATAAAGTGCTTGTATTCCAAACCATAGAGCTGTCAGAGAGTCCTCTCTGCGCTGGGGAAGGAGAATCTCCACGTGGGACTGGGCCCAGGCCAGTCTCTCCCAGGGGTTTTGGCACAGGATTATCCCCCGAGGCGCTGCCCCTCTCCCCACGCAAACCCCCCCGGCCGCTCCTCGGGCAGGGGGTTGTAGTTGGGGTCATCCTCTGGTGTGTCAAATATTGCTTTCCTGGAAAACACAAAGGATGGTTTATCCTTTAAAACACAGCTCTCACAGAAAGATCAAGACAGCTCAAATGCTGCCCATGGAACAGTGTCTTCCCTCAGGAATGGCTTGCCCAGGCAGTGGGATTTATGCTCTCCAATTTGGAAGGAGATCCCAAATCAAGACTGATGAGGTTCATCTTCTGCTATTTATGATATAAATATTCTATGCCAGACATCTTCAGGATAGTCTATGCTTCTGTGAAAAACAACCATCAGAGGTGTTCAGAGAGCATCCACACAAGAGGGAACTGAGTGGGAGCACCAATACTCAATACTATAAACACCGAAGGATTTTTTCCCCAAAATTGTGGCCTGAGGATGACTTACAGAAGATATATATATATATATATATATATATATATATCTGAGGTAATACCTCAGGCACTGTTCACACTCAGCAGGGGACACAGCTTTGGTGCCACCAAAACTTGTCAGCAAAGCCTGACAAGTGTTATCAGAGAAACCAAAGGTAAAATCCTTTAGCTCTTCTCCCAGTTAAGTTGGTTCCCACTTAAACAAATGCCAGCTCCTTTTTCGGCAACACAAGTTCAATAAAAAGCAAGAACAGACACCCCCCCAGTTCTGTCTCTGCCCAATTCACCAGAAGCTGATGTGACTGAGCTGCAAACAGTTTTCCAAACAAGCACTTTTTCCATGTCTCTGCCAAAGCAGACACCAATACTCACAGGACAGACGGTGTTCTCAGAAGCCTCCCACCACCAGGCTGATTGGGAAAGACATCCTCTAAGAAAAAATATATATGCCCAACAGCAATGCCTGGTATTGAAACAAAAGCCAAAAGGTGATTTTTCAATCCTTCTCTTTTACAACTCTCAAATGCTTTATACTAGAGTTTTCAGAAAAACAACACGCATTGGTTCTCTCACAGAAAATATGATGATACAGAAATACAAAACCTAAGGAAGAAAGCTAATAGCAGATAAAAAGCTTAACTTACACCGCAAGGCATTAATATTGGAAAAACGTCCTGTCATTATTAAAAATACTGATGTTTTGGCTCTATTAAGAGTTGATAAAATAGTAATATAAACTATTTTATTTCAGTAGACTGATGCTATGGTCAGATGATGCATCAGGCCTGATTCCAAGCAATAAAAAACCAAAACATTAGAAGCTCCTTCCATCCTTATCACAGCACAAAACATGCTACAATGTTTAGAAATCAGAAAAGCCTGGTAGAAATATATCAGAACACCAAGCATTAGGGCATTCAGGCCTTGGATTTGTCCCCATTTTCTGTTTCATGCAGAACATGAGGAGGAACAGGTCCTCGTGATTGTCACCATTGCTCACCCAGGAGATCCACAATGATGGAGTTCCCCAAAAGCAGTGAAAAGCCCATCAATACCCAGGGTAGAAATGGGGCTTGGAAGATGAGGAGACCGAAGAAGTTCATGCGGACATAGGGGTTCCTGCGGCTCCAGACGTACACCAGCATGATGGTGAACGCCTGGCCCAGGAACACCAAGTTCACAAACAGCCCAAAAAGCTGGTATGGGTTGTTAAGGAAACACTTGTGAGGTCAGGAATTTCACATCTTAATTTGTAATCCCATGTTTTCCACACTGTTGGTAACTCCACTTTCTCAGGTGCAAGTTTTTCAAACTACTGTCCATCAAATCCAACATCTACAGCAGGATTCAGGGTACCTGCAGCATGAATAATCTCATTAAAGGATAAGTTAATTCTTCACAGACAACCTGAGCATAAGACCACACCTGAAAAGTCATAACCTGATAATTTCATTACCATTATCAAGCAGAAAAAAACCTGAAAAACCAGCAACAATCCCAAAGTATTCAAAATCATCCTAACAAATATTGGTACTCTTTGTGCAACAAAACTATATTAAGGTAACAGTAACAACACGATCTCAGTTCTCATTCATACATCTGTAGCTTTACTAAAGGAGCTTGGAATTAAAACAAAAAGGATACAGTCATTAAAAGTCCTCCAAAAAGGAACATAAATACAAAATCTGCCGTCCGACCCCGGAAAGAGCCTTCCTCGAGCATGCGGCAGTACCGGTATCTGAGGCCACAGGTCAGGAAAACTCCATTGCAAATGAGTTTAGAGACAGATCCAAGCAGAAAATGATTCAATCCTATATCAGCTTCAAAGTGGTTTTTATCAATTTACTGCATCACTTGGCTCTTTCTGGGTACTTCAGCAGAGAGGGTGACCCAGGAGGAAAAAAATTTACCTGGAATTTCCTCCTGCACGAGGTCAGCACCAACCTGAAGGATCAAGCTTGTACAAATTCTTAACACCGAAAAAGTAATTGGCTAAATTTTTCACTGCTTAGGAAGGAGACCCCCTTAAAGCCCCTTCATGACACCAGTGAAGTTGGCACTGCTGAATTCCCAGGAGCTCAACCTTTCCTGTGTGTAGGTACAGCAACATTCCTGCACTCTGGAGCTCTGCTTGCCAAGGGAACCAACACAACTTGGTGAAGGATACAAAAAGATCATGTTAAATAAAAAATTAAAGCCAACTGGTCCAAAGAACAAGTAGTTTGTGATTAACCTCCATATCTGGAAATAAGACAAATACAAGCACTTTAAACATGACAGCTTATTTTTATTGTCTAAATAGATAAGCAACAATGAAATCAATATCTCATTTACAGAAAATGAAACTAAGACCTATTTAACGGTACATTGGTCTGCACTCTGGCTACAGTAGCTTTTATAAAGCATATTTCTAATACAAAAAGTACACTATTTTGAAAAGACAAGCACTTAAAAAACTCTCCAGCACAGTTTAAAACCTCCCGTGCTTCAGAACACACTTACTTGAAAGTGCTTAAATATTAACTCAGGGTTGAAATACAGCTGGAAGGGCGTGATAAGTTCTAATTGCTGAAAAAGAAAAGAACATTTTGAAAGGATCAATACAAGGAACTAAAAAAAAAAAAAACAAGAAAAAATATACACCCAACACAGCAACCCAAAAGAGCCCAGCAAGTCCTCAAGCAGCACTGTGAGTTTTCTGGCAAGCGGGAGCCTCAATACAACAACCCTCAGGCGCTGTTATTATTTATTTGTGCTTTGCATCTCCCCGGGGCCTGTTTCGGGAATCCCGTCGCTGAGGGGCTCCAGACGCGCCTCAGAGCGGGGGCGGTGCCTCAGGGCTCCCCTTCCACGGCTTCCCCGCGTCCACCCCGCTCCCAATTCCCGTCACGACCTCCCTCCCGCGGCCGCGCACTGACCACGGCGGCGGTGGTGAGGACGCAGGCGGTGGTGTAGGCCCGGGTCACGGGCGGCACCTGCA